CTTATTAAAAATATTCATTCCGTGTCTTTTGTGCATTTTTTTTCACTTTTAAATTGTCCTGCGGACCTGATCAAACCTCCTTGCGGGCCGGTTCCGGCCGTATGTGAAACACCCCTGATGTATAGTAAGGCGTTTTTAGCCGAAAAAAACGACCATGTATAGGAAGGCGTTTTTCGACGAAAAAAACGACCATGTATAGTAAGGCGTTTTGGGTCAAAAATAATGACCATGTATAGTAAGGACTTTTTAGCCCAAAAAAACGACCATGTATAGTAAGGCGCTTTTAGACTTAAAAAAAAAAAACCATGTATAGTAAGGCGTTTTTCGACGAAAAAAACGACGGTCGTTTTGAGCCGAAAAAACGACCATGTATAGTCAGGAGTTTTTAGACAAAAAAAAATGACCATGTATCGTAAGGCGTTTCAACCTGTATAGTAAGGCGTTTTTAGCCGAAAAAACGACCATTTATAGTAAGGCGTTTTTATACGAAAAAAACGATCATGTATAGTAAGGTGTTTTTAGACGAAAAAAACGACCATGTATATAGTAAGGCGTTTTTATACGAAAAAAACGATCATGTATAGTAAGGTGTTTTTAGACGAAAAAAACGACCATGTATATAGTAAGGCGTTTTTATACGAAAAAAACGATCATGTATAGTAAGGTGTTTTTAGACGAAAAAAACGACCATGTATATAGTAAGGCGTTTTTATACGAAAAAAACGATCATGTATAGTAAGGTGTTTTTAGACGAAAAAAACGACCACGTACAGTAAGGCGTTTTAATCAGAAAAAAACGACCATGAAAAATAAGGCGCTTTAACCCAAAAAAAAATGACCATGTTTAGTAAGGCGTTTTTGGCCGAAAAAAACGACCATGTATAGTAAGGCGTTTTTAGACGAAAAAAACAACCATGTATAGTATGCCGTTTTTGGCACGAAAAAAAAAACGACATAGTATAGTAAGGCGTTTTTGGCACGAAAAAAACGACATAGTATAGTAAGGCGTTTTTGGCACGAAAAAAACGACATAGTATAGTAAGGCGTTTTTGGCACGAAAAAAACGACATAGTATAGTAAGGCGTTTTTGGCACGAAAAAAACGACATAGTATAGTAAGGCGTTTTTGGCACGAAAAAAACGACATAGTATAGTAAGGCGTTTTTGGCACGAAAAAAACGACATAGTATAGTAAGGCGTTTTTGGCACGAAAAAAACGACATAGTATAGTAAGGCGTTTTTGGCACGAAAAAAACGACATAGTATAGTAAGGCGTTTTTGGCACGAAAAAAACGACATAGTATAGTAAGGCGTTTTTGGCACGAAAAAAACGACATAGTATAGTAAGGCGTTTTTGGCACGAAAAAAACGACATAGTATAGTAAGGCGTTTTTGGCACGAAAAAAACGACATAGTATAGTAAGGCGTTTTTGGCACGAAAAAAACGACATAGTATAGTAAGGCGTTTTTGGCACGAAAAAAACGACATAGTATAGTAAGGCGTTTTTGGCACGAAAAAAACGACATAGTATAGTAAGGCGTTTTTGGCACGAAAAAAACGACATAGTATAGTAAGGCGTTTTTGGCACGAAAAAAACGACATAGTATAGTAAGGCGTTTTTGGCACGAAAAAAACGACATAGTATAGTAAGGCGTTTTTGGCACGAAAAAAACGACATAGTATAGTAAGGCGTTTTTGGCACGAAAAAAACGACATAGTATAGTAAGGCGTTTTTGGCACGAAAAAAACGACATAGTATAGTAAGGCGTTTTTGGCACGAAAAAAACGACATAGTATAGTAAGGCGTTTTTGGCACGAAAAAAACGACATAGTATAGTAAGGCGTTTTTGGCACGAAAAAAACGACATAGTATAGTAAGGCGTTTTTGGCACGAAAAAAACGACATAGTATAGTAAGGCGTTTTTGGCACGAAAAAAACGACATAGTATAGTAAGGCGTTTTTGGCACGAAAAAAACGACATAGTATAGTAAGGCGTTTTTGGCACGAAAAAAACGACATAGTATAGTAAGGCGTTTTTGGCACGAAAAAAACGACATAGTATAGTAAGGCGTTTTTGGCACGAAAAAAACGACATAGTATAGTAAGGCGTTTTTGGCACGAAAAAAACGACATAGTATAGTAAGGCGTTTTTGGCACGAAAAAAACGACATAGTATAGTAAGGCGTTTTTGGCACGAAAAAAA